TTTGACATGTCTGGGCAGAAACTGCATATTCTTTCAAATGTTAACTCAAAAATCAGAGGAAAAATCCTTTCTCTCTGAAGTCTGTCTGTCCATATGTTCCTTGATAACCACCAAAATGCAAGATAGCACAGCCTTCTGTTCTGTTTCTTAAATTATTTAGTTAGGAATCTAAGGCTATTTCCTGTCAGTTTTTCTGCATGTTGTTCTCTACATAGGTCTGATAAGTCATTTTTGGTGCTTTTGTCTTGTGAACTTTTAGAATGTCTGAAAACCTTGCTTTTTTCTAAGATAAATGTATCAAAATCCATTGGCCTCTCATCATATGTTTCTTTCTAACGCCTTATCACCTGTGTTGCTCTTTGAATGCTTTCCCTCTGGTAAACTCCTTGAACTTCAGTGCCAAGAATTGAACAAAATGCCATATCAAAGAAGGAAACTAGCATAATCTGGATGCTTGTTGTGCTCTCATTAAATCCATGCTGGCCACTTATAATCATTCTGTTTTCCTTTAGGTATTTCAGATCAAGCAGGATCTAAGCCAGTATTTTTACTGCCTTTTTCATTTATTATTATTATTCCATTTCTGTACTTCCTGTAACTGAAGCTCTTTGGGCAGTTTACAACAAAGTAGAAAAACAAGCAAATACAATAGATACAGACAATAATAATTAAAATTTTAAAATAACTTTACTTCAAATATAAGCTAGCTAAAACTTTTCTAAGGATCAGTTAAAAAGAGGCTGATGTGGGCAATAAAAGCTAGAGTCTGTCTAGATATTTGTTCCTTAATAAGCTTTACCCTTTCCTGTAAATTTATGAATACATAGGCATTAAATCTAGAGGCAGCAATTATACTGTCTTCAACACTACCACTGAGATAAATAATGAAGAAAATTCCTGTTTACTAGATTTCTCTCTCACACAAACACACAGAAATATGGGTAGGATGCCCACTTGACTAAAGAGTTTACCAATTCAAAGAACCAAAACTCAGATCACTGTATTAAGCATAGAGGCACAGTTCCAGCACATGCTTGCATTGCACCTCTGGCATGAGAGTGTCTGGCTTGAACACAGAGAGAGCATTTTCAGTGTAAACTTGCATGAACATTGTCAAGAAAACTAACAGATGAGCACTACTAATCAACAGCAGAGTCTGTGTGACAACATTTGACATGCACATACCCACAATTGCTTGAGGGAGCATGTGGTTTTCTTGTTCCTCCAAAAGGCTGTGGTGAAACCCCCTTTGAAGATGTCAATTTTAGACCATGGTATCTTTCTGGGCCACCTACCCAGGATACGTTTATAGGACACTGTTTTAAAATGGCTCTGTTCATTTTTGGAGGATCAGTCCAGAAGGGAGACTACTGTTCCACCTTATGGTCCATGGGGCGGTACAAAATTCCATTGCTTTTCTCATGCAGATATTAAAAAGCATGGAATTGCTAAGTGAGTTCCTGAGAAAGTTTGGGATTTGCGCATCCTTATCCCAGTAATATGTACTCTTTCACAGATGATAATTTTCTTTCATGTACATGCCTTACATGTAAGAAAAGTTGTATAACTCAACGTGCCCCATCATGTGTGAGGAACTTAACTGCTTCTGCATGTATCAAATATGCAGCAATGTTTTTTTGTGTTTTATAGCACATGTTTCTGTGACATACTTTTTATGTAGCATGAATACATGTAAAGGAAAATTGACACAAATGGAAATACCCATACCCTAATCATTGTGTGTTTCTCCAACAAATTTGCTTCTATTGCCAGAATTGCTGCGTGATTTAATATTTTTCTAATTTCCATAATTGACTTTACATTCTCAGCTAAATTTGAGGCAAAAAGATCTTGAGGCTAAATTTGAGGCAAAAAGATCTTGAGGCAGAATTATGAAGTAGCCAAGCTCCAGGATTTCTTTGGAGTAAAAAACTTGCTAGGACTCTGGATAATAATGTGTAGATATAATGGAATAAATTTAATAGTAAAAATAATAAAACAGAGACTTCAGTAAAAGAAGAATGAAAGCTGCTCCTGTGTTGAGTCACACCAAGGGAAAGAGTTCCCATCAGTGTGTATGTGTGGGGGAGAGAGATTTGCGTACTATGATACATATCACATTTTAATCAATAACAGATCAATTAAAAAAGAAACCCACACATGCACACAGCATGCATCCACATGCCACACACATGCGCACGCACACACAGAAAATGTAGCTTTAGATTTTTTACTTGCTCTGATACTTTCCAAGAAATGGCAATCATGTCAACTGTTCTCCAGTTCCCTGGGCCTTCCTTCTTCACGCCCAGCTGCTTTCCTGTCACCCCCACAAGCTGAGTACATAGTCTCATCGTTAAATTGCGAAGAGGCCACCCTAAGTAACTGGCCAGTTCTTTAAAGATTTTTAAAAAGTTGCAGCAGTGGAGGTTTTAATGAATCCAGACTGGCAAGCGCTTTTATAAGTCTTTCTTACTGGTCCTCCCTTCTTTAATCCTATCAGTAGGATGTTATCTTTTTACAGTGTTACCTTTTTTGTAAAGAGTCAAAGGATGTAGGTAGCAAACAGCTATGCCTCCTTTGCATAATTTATATGCATCTGGCCTTTTGCATTAAATGTGCTGTCAAGGGCACTATCAACTCCCTTTTGCTTCTAGATAACCATAAAAATTCTAAAAGCAAGTGCAGCAAACAGGGATACATTCAAGGAGGAAAAACACTCAATAAGGGCTGCTTTTCTTTTGACTTTCCAGTTTAGTTGCAATGGCTTCGCTTAAGGTAGCTTCCTGATTTCTCTCCCTGCATGCTATCAATATATTCCTTAATCATCTTGAGTTATCTTTCCTTTAGCAGCATCATTTCATTTCTTGTTTAGTATTTAAATCATTAAAAAGATTGCAGTGCAACGACACCCATTGGAAATAAAGTGTGACTTCTTTTTTTGGTCATACAGCTTGCATATGTGTATTTCTGAAACATAGGTATCTACAGACAGCGCCTGTGTTTTCACAGAGTGATCCGACAGGATTCTGGTGATTCTTAACTTATTGTGAACAGGCCACATACTAGTCCACATACCTGTTCTCTCCCACTTCGCTGCTGCTAGCACAAGCAGCCACACTAACCAGAGATGGAAAAACTACTCCCAGTGACTCTCAGACCTGGCCTGTGGTCTCAGACAAGTTAGGATTTGTAAACCAAGAACAAACCCAGCTTTATAATCCTGGCTTGTAAAAGGCACAACAGGTCTGGATCCTGGACTCAGGTGTCAAGCTAGGCTTTATATTTCTGGTTAGTTGAACCATTTGCACTAGCAAGGGGTACCAAGTAGGTGTGAAGCATGTAGTTCTTTCACAGTAAACCAGGATGGCTGAACATAAGTATTAACTCAGACACTCTGGATTTTAAAGAGAACAGTTGGTTCTGATCACAAGTGCAGAACTGTCCAGTGTCAGATTGACATTGCTGTTCAGCTGCTAAGGCTTGCATTGCTGCGGAAGGTCCATTCCAAACGCCTGGAATCCTTCACCCTGCTTTTCTTCTTCCTTACTGTCACTGACTCATTGACGTCTATAAGCAAGTGTGCAGTGATAGGAGCCACATCTTGCATCCTCTGAGCACTGGGTGGATTGGAACCAAACGGCATTACACAACAGTGAGGAATGGATGGGGTCACTCAGAGAATGAATCTGTAGAAAGCTTCCTGCTGAAAACCCGAGCTAGTGCTGCAAAAGTGCATAATTGTTGCTTTCTTTTAAATTATCTCGACCAATTTGCTATTTCAGAATAGGTGCCCTTGTAACTCTATTTTCAAATCTTAATAACAGCAAATTAGATCAGCATCAGCTTTTATGAAGCTGGTAAGCTATGTTGTGCTGCACCTGTGACGGGGAGAGAAGATTTGCTGGCATAGTGCTGCAATTTGAAAATGTTTCTCTAATTTCTGTAACAGCCATAATTTAATTCTTGGCACTACAATAGATTTTTCCAACCAAGATCTTTTAAGAAGGGGGGGCAGGGAAATTAAATTAAATGGAAGTATGCCAAAATATGGAAAGGCAAATTTTGCTTGCTGTGACATCTCCAATTAGAGTAAGTTTGAGTGATGACAAGTATGTACTTAGCAGTTTTCTTTCTTTCTTTCTTTCTTTGTAAAACAACTATATTTAACATTGGAATAATTGGAAGCAACTTGTGCCTTCAAGTGTAGTATTCCACCTCCCATTTGGCACTCAGAACCAAACATGTCATGAACACAGAACAATCTGCAACTGTTTGCCTAAGACATCCACTTCAAAAAGGAAAATTCCTCCTTATTCCCAGGTGTCATTCAAAAAGTGGATTAAAGTCATAAAGGATTAGTGTAAGAGTTGTTGTTTTTAGATTATGGCCATGAACATCAAGCGCTTCTGTTGTTTCTGTGAAACGACTGTGTTTCTGTGACCACAGGACCTGGAGTCCCGAACCACAATGATCTTCTTACTGGCAGCACATAAGTTGTGGGACAGTCTTGCAAGAGAGATTTGTTTGGCCCTTTTCTTTATGGCTGTTAGACAGTCAAACCTTTTCATGTTGCCATATTTTAATGGGCTTTATGAGCTTGGTTGGTGTGTACTGTATATATGTATGTATAATGGAAGAGCTTTTTTGTATCAGGATTGTATTTTATTGTTATGAATTGTCATGGGGGCAAATATGGGAGTTTAAAGGGTATAAATGCTTCTATAAATCACTCAGTCAATCACACATGCACTTTCTGCCCTAGGGTGAAAATTGTCTGCAAGCTATATGTTGCTTATCCTGAATGTAGAAAGTGTAATTGTGCAAACTTTCTGCAAACAGTCCTGTTCCACAGAAGTTCCATCTCTGTGTATGTAACAAGCAAGAACTAGTCATAATTCTTGATACTGTTACTTCTTGGGAATATGTTGCGAAGCAGCTATTTATTCTCTCTCTTCTGTGCTCTGTCACTAATATTATTGCTATGGTTTTTATTTTAGGAGCTGAACAGTTCTACAGCAGATAAGCAGAACCTTGAAAAGGAGATCAGAAAACTCCAAGATAGACTGGCTGCTTGTCAAAGTGCTTGGGAAACATCACAGAAAGAACTGAGCCACCTAAAGGAATGCTGCAATGAGAATGAAGAGTACCTGAAAAGTAGCACAGAGGAAGCCAGGGCTGCAAAAAGTCTCCACAGGACATTTAAAGAGCAAATTGCCACTCTTCTTGGGAGTAATTCCATTTTAGTCAGTCCTTCAGAGGAAGACATAATAGAAAAAATTCGAGAAATGTGCCATGATGAGGAGAGCAAAAAAACAGTATGTGAAATCGTATTGTTGTTCAAGTTGCTTGAGGTTTTTTTCACTGCTTCTTTTCTACATGAATTAAAACCTTTCAGATGCTGGCACCCTTCTTGTGTATATGCCCTTAGTGAAAAAAAAATCCAGTTTACATGTTAATTTAAGCATGATAACACCTGTCTTACCATCTCAGAAAGTAGGAAGCATTGCATGCAATTGTAGTGCTTCATGGTAAAACTCGATTCAAGATTTTTCACAGCCATAGAGAAAGCATTTTTGGCAGTAATCGTGTTGCCTACTGAGCATTTGGATTTGGCTGTGCTCTTTTCAACATGCAGTCTAAAGCTTAGATTTTTCTTTTCTTCTGCCTCAGGCAACACACTATGGTCCTGTTTGGATGTCACAGCAGCCCTTCTGTGGGTATCACCCAGGTTGATTTTGCAAAGTACCCACAGTGAGTGCAACAGATAGTTCAGCTCCTTGTGGATACTTCACCCCTGCCCCATTTCCCCTTGTTTCTTCAGGCAGTATCTCAGGGGACTCTGGAAGGAGGAATGGATCTTCTCTTTTTGTCAGCCATTATCACAAGCTGAATTCAGCTCATCACAGCTGTCAGAAAGTACCTGTCACACAAACAGGGCACCCCCTTGCACACAGCCCCTTCCAAGGTTAGAAGCTGACTTCTAACGTAAAGGCAAAGACATTGTTGGCACTATAAGGGCAGAGCGGAGAGCGTGACGGAGCACGGTGGGTCACTCCCTCCTCCTACTCCAGAGAAGACCTCTGGAGCAGGAGGCAGGGATGTCCGACCTGCACTGCATCATTGTCTTGAGCACTGAGAAGGTTTTGCTTCTTTTCCCACTGGCTGTTGGGACTTGCCCATCGTGAGTTGCATCATTCAAGTTCAGACAACATGAGAACCCACTGTGGGTGCCAACAATCCTAGAACAGCTCAGGGATACTCAGGTGTACTCAGGGATACTTTAGGTAAAAACAACCCACTGTGGGTGACCCATGCTGTGATTGCATGACATGACAATTCAGCTACAATAACAAGCCATGGTGCATTGTTGTGGCTTCTGAACCAAGACTATAAATCCTCTATTTTTCTACTGATTAGAACTCAAGTGCTGCAGTGCAGGCTGAAGATGAATCTGTACCATGTATCCTTCACTTTAGCTACATTACACAGATATTAATTGAATTCATCCCTGGATGAGTATAGTGAATGGGACAGAGAAAAGGAGCAGTCCTTACTCAGGATTAACCATTGAACAAATTTACTTTGAATAAGCATACATACAGTTGCACTGTTTAGTTGAGGCCAAGTGGTACAGAGTGTTAAGGGTTAGAAAAGCTCCATCTCATATTGTCCTGGGAAGGCTGCACAGAAGTTGGAGCAATAGTCATGGTCACACCTGTCAGGAGTTGAGCTAATGTGTTTCACAACAGCTAATACCTTGTGGGAGAGTAATACCCTTTTTCTTCTTTACTTTTCCAGCACTTGGAAAAGGGGTGAGGAGCAGGGTGGTCATTTAATTTAAACAAGTTCATGTTCAAAGGATATGCCTGCAGCAATTGTAGTGTTGGATGCTTCTATCTTTGCCAGATCATGTGCATCCCTGGGTTTCTGACTTGCACATTTGCTTTTCACAGTTACCAAGCAAAGATTGTTCATGGACACTTTTAAAATTGCTCAGCTTTCCCCATAACAATCTTAGTCAGTTTAAGTACTTTCAGGTTATCTAAATGTGCTGTAAAAGATGTTGATCATTTGCTAAATATCTTTTTAATTTAAAAAACAGAACAATAAATTCCCAAACTGAGCAATTCAAGTTTGTGGCTAGGAGACTTGGTAAAACTAGTGCTTTTCAGGACATATTTGGGAAAATACCTGATGGATTGTTGATGGATTTCATAGCTTGAATGGATCAAGTTGGAGGAAAGCTCCAGCAGGTTTCCTTTCAGTTCTTCAAAGCCAGCAGAAATTTCACAGTCACAGGTTGGAGCTGGAGCACATCACTCTGTAATGAGACACTCTGTCTGCTCCATGGCTTGACTAGCTGCACATGAGATGGAGGTGATGGCTCTTCTCTGTGCCATTATCGCTTCTTAATGTTTTACTTGGATGCAAGAAACTTTTAGGTGGCATCCCCGTGGCAAGAATAAAGTGTGCTTTAGCTATAACGGAAGGAAGTGTTAAGATCTCATTACCAGCTGCTGTACATCTTTGTTGTTGTTTTTCTAGTTGTACAAGGAAAGGAAAGCCATGTCATTTGAACTGGGGTATATTGGGCAGAAATAGCACAGTACGATGTAGACCAAACTGCCAGATGCATACTTGGCCCTACAGAAATTGTAGTTCACAGTGAAACCAAAGATGGAAAAGTGCCAAGTGTCTGTGCTGAAGAAAAGTTAGCCTTTGGGAAGCAGAACAGGCTTGAAAAGTTGAATGCTCTGTTTATGCTGCTCCAGGATGAAGTCCGTCAATAAGGAAGTGTGCACTTCAGCCTCTGGAGAGTACCTGGTTGAAAGATAATGCCAGAAATAGACTTGAGAATATTCTAAATGTCTTATTCCCAGGAAGGTGCTATCTGTTCTTTGCTTTTAGTTTGATGCACTTCTACTTGATAGATCTGACCTATTGATTCCCCAAAAGTTTAAAATCAAATCTGATACGAAATGCTTGTACAAACCACTCAGTTCAAAAGCAACCCTCCGTCTCCATTGCTCCACACCAGAATGTTGCTATTAGATCGTGCTGGATAACAACTCTAGCAATCCTGCTTGAAGGTATCCTCCCCAAGGGCTGGAGAGCTCCAGCTAAAGCAGGGGTCTCAAACTCAACTTACCTGGGGGCCACTGGAAGTAGAGTCTGGGTGAGGCTGGGCCGCATCAAGTATTCCACCACTGCGGTGGTGGTGGGCCACTCATCCCGCGTCGCTCCCGGAGGCTGGCCCGGGCGCTGCCGGTGCTTTGAAGGCCGCAGGACCCCTCCCCCGTGGCCCACCCATCCCGGCGCGCAGCTTAGAGGGAACAGTGTGCCCAGGATAACGACTCACGCAGGTGCGTGTGAGAAAAACGTGCGGGCTGCACTATCACTAAACGTTGATATCAAGTGGGGGCCACAAAATATTGTCTCATGGGCCGCAATTGGCCCGCGGGCCACAAGTTTGAGACCCCTGAGCTAAAGGAAGGCTGCAATTAGGAGCACTGGAATTCATGTGGATCTGTCTTTTTGCAATAGGTTAGCATAATATAATAAAATAATCACCACAGCTAGTCTTTCCTACATCCTAGGCACTCTCCAGGTTATTTGCTCTCCATTCCACTTAATCAGCCTCACCTTATCATTGGCTATATTTCTCTCCCACACCTCACCAATGCTATTCAGTAATTGAATATAATTTTCTGCATTAGGTTGCACTCACACATTTAGCAAGAAGTTACAAGAGTGTCACTCTGCCCTGAGCTGTGGGTCCTACTAAGCCTTCCAGGAAGCCATCTGGTTCTTTATCTATTACCTTGAAAACACGATCCATGAGTCTAAATTACAAAGTTACAGCATTCATTTTAAGCAATGTTGTAGTTACATTTTCCTTGAATTACATTATAAGAGCTTTAAAGTTCACATTGTGCTCTTGTCAGTATTGTGGTAGATGCCTTCATTGCCCTCTAGTCCTTCTGCAGGCCTTGAATGAAACCCTTTGAGTTGTATAAGATGGAGAATTGTCGGTTTTTTTCTACCCTTCCAAGAGGGCTTAGTTTGTGCCTGATTGTTTGGTTGGTGTATTTAGCTGTAGCTCCAATGTTTGCTTGTCTTTGTTTCTGTTTATGAATTTCTTAAACCATTCCCCTGTGCGCCTCTTGTCTTGGGTAACATAATCTATTTATATTTGAAATGCTGTAATTTCTAAACGCTGAACGTGTCAGTGCAAAAGTGAATGTTGCATGCATAAATGCTTGCAAAATCTGGCCAGCTTGCAAACATGAGGACTACATCTGCTAGTCAGGAAGATGATTTAATAGAATTCTCAAGGTGGAAGTAAATACCTCAGCCCATTACACAGAAGTTCAGTTAAACTGAAGCAAATGAATACAATGAGTAGAATTTGATAATGTTAATTTTATCCATTAGAAGAGTCTTGTAAAAGTTGTGAAAGTTAACAAGCACAGTTAAGACAGATGTCATTGTTTATATGGCTTTGCATAATGAGATTTAATCTCCTATTCACTTTGGCTACACTTGAACTAGGTTTTTTAAAAATTTCATTGCCCTAACATTTGTGGTCTAAAAACGTATCAACTTTAAAGTAAAAAAAAAAAAGAAAGTATGCCATATTGTCTATGGGTCATTTGAAATGCCAAGCTTATGTTTGCCTCATCTGTCAGCTGCTTTCACATTCTGATCTTTAATAGGACACACTCTTGTTTCTGGGTATTTGGCCAGAATATTGTTTTATTGGCTTCTTATACCATGACTGTACAGGGAAAAAAGGAGGTATTTTATCTGTCTCCATCTGCCTGGAATGGAATATCCGCTCTGAGCCACTCCTTTGTCAGCTTTCTGGCTGTCTCCATTCTTAAACCTTCTTCTGTGTCTGCCTGCCACCCTGTACCATGGCGTCACACTTGTGGCTCTGTCCACCTGTCACTTTTTTCCCATCTTGCCTTTTGATCCCAAGAAGGATTCCTGCTCTTGAAACAACCTTTCAGTCTATGTAGGCAGATCTTTCTAAGTGGCAGACATGCTGAATCAACACATTTGGCTTTCCAAGCTCAGACAGGCCCAGAGCTGTGGCAAGGCAAGCAATGCAGCCACCACAGGGACCAACTACAGGGGGGTGTTGTTGCCATCTCTCAAGCAAAAGAATATGGCATATCCTCTTCCAGTTGCATAAGTTCTTTAAGGCGCCATAAGGTTCTTTCTCCCTCACCCCTCTGACACATCTGGCAAAGCATCTAGTTCATGGGTGGGCAACACAGAGTTTTTGGGCTGTTTGGTCATCCTCAGGGGGGTGTATGCCCCCCCCTCCAAATTGCTTTTGTGGGATTGTCACCAATTCACTGGCAGTTAAAAAGCATTTTCACTATAAAACAAAGTGCATGGGGGGCATATGCCTTCTTTTGATGAAAATGTATGTATCCCCAAGGGCTTCTGGGAGCATAGTTATGCATTAAAATGAGGTGTGTACTCCCAGTACACCTGGTAATGAAGCAAAATTACAGCTTTTATGCCATCCATGGTGGGTTCTGAACCCCTCCGGATTAAAAAAAAAAAAGCTTTGCATTCATACAGAGTTCAAATACATTTTTTTTGCGGGGGATGAGCCTCTGAAGTTGCCTATTCCTGATACAGGGCAAATGCAAAGGAGGACAGGACACAGTTCCTGTACCTTTCATAGTTATGTAGAAAATGACATTTCAGCAAGCATGTGTTGCATGACAAGCTACACTTGCTGAAATCTCTTTTATGCACCTCTATTAATGATTTAGGCTGCCTTCTGTTGTATCTGCCCATCCTCAGCACAGTCTTCAGATGCAAGAATGCTGAATTTCACAGTCTCCTTTACTGGTAAGCTACTATATAATTCAGCATAATCAGTGGGTCTGCCAGAAGTAGGAAGACAGAATGCATTAACAGTTAACAAAACTGTCATCCACATGCTTAAGTTACTTCCCTTCTCTCTCATCCCCTAACCTTAGTTCTTAAGCTCCTAGGTATTGCATCAAGAGTATTTGATTTTTCTACAAAACCAAAACTGGCAAGACTGGCTAGGAAATGCAGGGAGATAGAGGATTTTGCTTTCCTGTCTGAACTTGCATAGGATTGGACCCTTAGTTGTGACGTAGAAGAATCTTGGCTAGCCTACAAATTACAGTCGCATTTTACAGGTGCACCAAAACAACCTGCCTGTGTAGGTTCCATGACCTTTAAAGCATTTTGGGCCATGGATCAGCTGCATTATGTGGAGAGTTTCTGAATCAACATTGCACCTTATTGGTGGTGCTGTCGAAACTCTGCACATGGTCAGTATGACCTCAGTAATGAACTGTCCTAAAAGTTATAATGGCTACAGACACGCAGAGGCAAACCTTGTAACATGATTAAGTTACATGGTCCAGTCATGAGCCGAGTTCAAATTCGAATTCATACACATAATTTTTTAATTTTTCAGCTTTAGCTGCCTCATTGTAAAGCAGATATAATAACTTATGTCACAGATGTGTTGACATCAGGTGCAAGCATGGTGTAAGATTAGCAAAATGCTTTGTACACCAGAAAAATGCTTCAGAAATAGAATACTTAAGATGATTCAGAGTGCACTTTAAAAATATACACACATGGTTAATGGTTTTGTAAACTTTAATTAAGGTTAGGTTCTTATTGTGAGAGCAATTGCGGTCTACTTATTACAGAGATCTGGACTGGAACTTGGGAGATCTGGGTTCCAAATTTCACTTGCATGAAGCTTTCTGGATGAGTTTGGGTCCATCATGAACCCTCAGCCAAATCTGTCTCACAGGTTTGTTGTCAGGATAAAATGGAGAGGAGAACGATCATATAAGCTGCCTTGGGTTTCTTATAGGTAGGAAAAGTGGGTTATAAATGTAATGTAATTTTTAAAAACTTGCACATATAATATGATATAAAAGTATCTGCTATATAAGACTGAAATTAAATGAGAGTTACAGGACAATTCTAGGCACACCTGGAAGAAAATTCATGGAGACTTACTTTGATTATGCATGCTTTATTATGCATTATAACTGAATTATAAATTCCAGTTAATGTGTTTAGGATTGGATGTCAGGCTTATCCATTTGATTACGCAATCAGGGTAGTGCACATTCATGTTTACATTAGGTTTCAGATTTTTGAAACATGTAACAAAGTGTCATCAAAACTGAGTTACAGCATATGTATATGTCTAATATTCATATGTATAATCTGTGAAATTGAAATGAAAGCACCTCATATACATACATGCACCAGAGCAAGTGCACACACGAGGTCACAATGATAGGGAACTGTGGAAAGAACTAACACTGTACAACCCTTCTAGATTCAGTTAAGTTTTCATGGAGCTTAATATTTAGTTTCATATAACTGGGATATTGGGAACAATCAATTTTAGGTCCGATTGGCAAATTTGGTTAAAATAGTCCAGCAACTCTGGAATGATAATACCATATTCTTTAATGGTATTTTAATAAAATGTGCAATGCCTTTTATGAAATTATTGGGGCTGTTGAGGTAGGGTATAGTTTTATTGATATTTGATTATTGTGTTTTTATTTATAGTTTTATTGTTGTAACCCACTCAGGGAGCCAAGTGCCTAATGGGGCAGGCTAGAAATCAAATAATACATAAATAAAAATGTTCAGCCATTTTCATGGATTGAAATATCTGTACTGGACAGGTTGGATCCATATTATATATTAACATACAATGCCTGCATGTAGTTCACCATTGGAGTCATTCTGATTTCTTCTGATTAAGTTTTCTTTGGTTTTCTGTTTGTTGAACAGTTATTCCACTGCTTCAGGTAGTTTGACAATGTGCCAGCGATTAGTCTAAGGCTTCTGAATTGAGTTTGGTATCCCACCCCCTGCAGGTTGTATCCCAGCTTGAAGCCCGAATAGCCAAACTAGCAGAGATGCAGGAAACTCAGAATAAACTGCACCAAGAAACTTTGCAAAAGACAAGAAAAGCGGAAAGCAAATCTGAGACACTTCACAATCAATTGATGCGTCTGGAAGGAGAGCTGGTGTCTGGGGACGTGATACGAGATTCTTTGAAGCTTGAGAAACAAAATGTAATTCCTTCTATTTTTAGGACAGCCACAACAAGCTAGAGAGACAACTGAGTTTTATGTAGGGATGAACGAATATGTCAATTTCTGTTTCTCATTTTTCCAGTCTTAAATTTCATTATCTCATTTCTACATCAGTTTGATATTTTTAAAAATTGCATGAATATTAATACATGTTTGTGTTCCCGTATCTTCCAATATACATGGCACTAAGTAATTTTGTCTACTATATTTTGGAAGCTATTTTGCCTAAGGAATGTTGATGCTGTTTTTTCTAATATATGCATTTTGCATGTATTTTCCTGCAGAGCATGGGCAGCCTCTGTGGGTTGTTCCACCTCCACCATCAGTGAAACACACTGCTCAGGGCCACTCATAGCATCTCAGTATCCGCAATATACACGACAGTTTTTAAGGATTTGCAGTGATTCTTCTAATTCTTAGATGACTGGTTATCCAAGTACTGGGGAATTGTCCGGGTGATAATGGAATGGATGAAAGCTGATAAGCTGATGCTCAGTCCTGGCAAGATTGAGGAAGTGGGTTGTGTCATGTTTGGCTTAACTGATGTTCTATTCATTTCAATGGGTTGACTCTGCCTGCAGCTAACACTGAATGCAACACACTGTTAGCAGAGGGATTGTCTTCCTTGCATTCAACCTATTCTGGAGAAAGTTACAGTCCCTGCAATTACCAGGTTCATAGTTTGTGGGTGCTCATTGATCCTTGCTGGCACCTAGAGGCACAAATGGCCTCCGTGACTCAATGCAACATTTATCATGTTAGGCTGGTGCATTTGCTACAGCCCTGGTTGAACAGAGACAGCCTTGCTTCAGCCAGTCATGCACAGGTTTCCTCCTGGTTTAGTTTACTGCAATGTATTGCATCTTGGTCTGCCTTTGAAAATAGCCCAGAAACTTCAGTCAGTTCAGAATATGTCCATAAGATTGTTAATGTTTTGGGAGCTATGAACACGTCTCATCATCACTGCTGGCTGCCACTGGATATTCAGATCCAGTTGAAAATGTTGTTTTTGACCTTGAAGTCTGAAAGATTGCCCCTCTCTCTGTATGGATGAACCTGGGCCATGAGACCATCTTTAGAGGTGGTTTTCTGGGTGCTCTCTCCAAGTGAAGTGTAATGGTTGGCTATGAACTGGCATCTTCAGCAGTGGCACTACAGTTGGGTAATTCTCTCCCAAGAGAGACTTGTCTGGCACCTCTTTTGTGTCAAGTGTTCATCCTTCAGGAGTGAAAAATAACTCTCTTTCCAACAGTAAGGGCTCTCAGTATCCACTTTTGCTAGCTTAATCCTCGCATCAAAGAAATATTATTTAAAAGTGCATGCACATCAGCTGTAATGAAGATTTACAAGAACAAATTTAACATAGGCAATGACTTGCAACTCTAAAAGCCACCAAAGGGCATGACAACATCATATGCCTCTGTGAGGCCAGGATCTGGCAGAACTAGCTTCTTCTTAGTAAGCCTTTACAGTATGTATATATATGCAAAAATTTTTTAATTGGTCTCAAATTGGTACATTGGTACATGTGGAAGACTTCCATTGATTAGACTGTATAGAACATTCCAACTCCTTTTTACATAATCCCTGCATTCTGAACATCTACTTTATTACATTCCAAAATGCATTTATAAACAGCTATTGTAAGCTTATGAGTCTGTAAAGAACTATTTAATTTCTCCAACAGTGTCAGGAAGTGCCAGCAAACGCTCTAGCCGAATATATGGACCATTAGAGCAGCAGTTCCCAGCCGAGGGTCCCTGCACCCCTTGGGTGGTATGAGATGGCATTTCAGGGGGTGTGACAAAGAGGAAGGCCAATTTTTTTGCAAAAATTATCCCAATAATACAATTTATTTCATTCATGTATTTATTAAAAGCTTTTTTAACCCATCCATTACAAATGTCTTGGGACAGTTTAAATAATAATTATTTATTATTATTTGTTTGCATTTGGATTCAGTTCTCTTTTGTCAATCAAGGCAAAATCTAGGAATTGCCTGAATCCACAAGCAGATTTGCAGATCACAATGAGCAAGAAAGTTACATGTTTTGACAAAATTGTGAATGCGAAGCAGGAACAAAGAAGTCCTTGAATTTTATGTTCACAACTGGGATTGATGTTATTGTTGACATTTTTCCTAATTGCTCAGTTTATATTTGAATTAAATGCACTCAGTTAAAAGCATTTTTTTAGTTCAGTTTGTTTCACCTGTTGTACAGTGCATGGTTCAATTTGTGGTTCAGAAATTAGAAATGTGAGTTCTTCATCTTCAAATGATACTACTTTTGTAGGTACTGTGAACATAAACATTTTCTAGGGATGTAGAGCATAGAAAATGTCAGTAACCGCTGTACTAGATGGTAAGTTAGCTAATCAGATGGCAGCTAATCTGAAAATGGCAAAAACTTGCCATCTGATCTAAAATATAAATAACTCTATCAGCCCAGATATTCATGCAATACCTCTCTATTTTCAAGAGTAACTTCTCCTGTTCAGTTAATTGAGCATAAGAATAGGGATCAGAAGAGACATTGCATGCCAAGTGTTTCTAGGTGCTAAAGGAGCCATTCCTCTTAATAAAGCTAGATCCTAATGCCATCCAATCAGAAAAAGGTGCAAGATACATTGACTCCAAAAGAGTAGGGGGGGTATTCAAAGAAAATGTTATTCATTCATTCTACCCCTTGTTTGTGCAGGGAAGACAATGTCCAGAGTCACCCTGCTTTTGGAGTTTTCACTTAACTGTCATGGCTGTCGCCTGTTGATAGACCTTTCTGACAAGAGATGGTTTAATCAGTATTTTTGTGACTAACTTAAATCCAGTTGGGTTGGATCCAGATTAAGGCTGCAATCCTATTACAGGAAGGACTGACATGTATAGGATTGCAACATACATTAGCTAAACTTTGGTCTCACAAAAATCAATGGAACTGGTTATGACTTAAGTCCCAGTGATTTTAGTTGAGATTGCGTTCAACTCAATCTGGATCCAGCCCATGGATTTCATTGAATGTACTCATAAGTATGACAAAATCTGGATTCAGCCCAAGAAGTTAAGGGTGCGTTGTGTAAGAATGCTTCTGTTTGTTCACCCTGAACTTTCTGTTCATCCGTTTCATTGTGAGACTCTGAAGTCTGCTGTTAGGAAGCAGAATGACTTTTCTAGACATACTATTTCTCAAACACATTCATAATTTTATGAACTTTGATCATGTCCTTAGTCATCATTAACGATATATAAAACAGGCAAAAAGAAAGTCACAGAGTCTTAAGCCTTGGTTTCAGATTTCTTCTTAGAAATGTAAACTAGCTGAAAATAAACTTTGCCGTTTAAAGAATGCTACCTGTGATAGTATAAATCTAGATTAAAAGGTCCCTTTTGGATTAATTACTTATGCTAGACTATGTATACCAAGGAAGGTTAAAACCAAAGACAGAGGAAGTTGGTATATTCCTCCTTTTTTCAGTAAGGAAAAAAGAGTGGATGTAAATCCTGCCAAAGTAGTTATGACAGTATAAGAGTGATGCTAATTGGAATATGTTTTGTTCTATCTTTCCATTTCTTTCTTCCTTTCTCTCTGAAGTATCTTCAGTTTCTGGATCAGCTTTCTGAAAAGTTGAATCTGGACTGTGTGGCAGCTGATATTGGATTTGATATGAGGTTGGAGGCTATATTGGCTCGTGTGGAGCAATTGATCAAACTAGAAGGAGACACATTGAGAGAAAATAAAATCATGGCACATAATCTGCAAAGAAAGGTAAGAAAAGTGAAACAGGCTTCAAAAATTTTATCAGCTTAAACAGAACACAGTTCAGTCCCTAATTTTTAGACTAGCATATGGGAGTAACAGACTAGAATCAGAAAACCAGAATCCAAATCACATTCAGCCAAGAAACTTGATGGTCAACCTTTCCTAGTCACTCAGCCTAACCTACCTCAGAGGGTTATTATGAGGATAAAAAGGCAGAATGAGAACTCTGTGTGCTTCCCTGAGTTCCTGAGCGCAGAGATGCACAACTTGCCCCTTCTAGATGTTTTGGCCTGGAACTTCTGTCAGCCCTAGCCAGCACCGCCAGTGGTGAGAGATGAGCAGGCTTGTAGATTGAACAATGTTGAGACCCACAGCTTGACCTTTTCTGCTTTAGAGGAAAACCAGGCTACAGATCCATTAAGAAAGGGGGAGAAAGCCACTATATTTAATGAGAGTGAAACATGATGGACATTTATTCATTTTCTTTTTTTGGGAATATAGCTTAAAACTCAAAAAGAACAACTTGACAATAAAGTGCTGCAGATGAAACTTTTGCGTCAGAAGATAGTTCAGCTGGAAGAAGAGAAGCAAGTGCGTACAGCTCTGGCTGTGGAAAGGGATGAGGCCAACCTTACTCTCCGAAAGTTACAAAAGAAGGTGGACAGATTACAGAATGAACTTGCTTTGGCGAGAGAAGCCAATACGGACCTGAAAGTTAAACTAGCTGATGCCAATGAATTGAAGGTAGGTAACCAGATTTTTGATGTTTGGAAGGGGTACAAGTACAAGTGGTTGGTTTTACATTTAAATAGCTCCTGAGCGGAAAGTCTGGAATGAATAAATAAATATTTGCCATTGCATTCAGTCAGAATGAATGCCCCATGAATGAATGCCCCATGAGTCCACAAAGAAAACTATTCAACAAAATGTAGAAAATTTGTTCTGCAAAAACAGGGATTTCAGAAGATCATGTTTTAAACAACTCAAAAACATGCACTTAAAACTCCTCTAGGGGTGGAAATGTCTTCTTAGATGTGTAAGGTCAAAGGACGTTTCTAAAAATAATGCATTGGTACCGGGCTCTAATATATGCCAATATGTAATGTGGAGCTAGCTCCTCCATAAGGTGGATAAGTAGTGTGCACTATTCAGTCACCTTCACACACACACACTTTATAAAAATAGAAATAATGTTCCTGCTTGATCTTAGCCAAAAGGACAAGAAGGTTTTAATGTTGACAGAGGTGGGGCCATGCTTCATTCTCCCTTCCCTTCCCTTCCCTTCCCTTCCCTTCCCTTCCCTTCCCTTCCCTTCCCTTCCCTTCCCTTCCCTTCCCTTCCCTTCCCTTCCAATTTCCTCTTTCCTCTTTCCTCTTTCCTCTTTCCTCTTTCCTCTTTCCTCTTTCTCCTCTTTTGCTACTGTCCATTCAGTCTTCAAAAATGTGCTAAATGAGTTCATCTCAAAAATTATCTCTAGAAGAGACTGTTTTGACATCTTAAGTGCTGTTCTTGTTCAGCTTGGTGGAAACTGTATTTCAGCACCGGAGCATCTGTCTCTGGCCACATGATGACTGTCTTCACGTACTGGAAACAATTAAGAACATGGCATCTGAAAAATTAACAAACTGATGGTGGCATATGCCTTCAGAGAGTAAACTCCATTCCATCATTTGCATGAAGTTTTATCCCCGACAAATGGAGATAACCACAGGACCACTGAAGAAGTACAGGGCCAAAATAAAGGAGATACCAGGAAGCAGATCTCCTGACATGGATAGTTTGATATTTAAAAGTAGTTGTGAAGAGTCTTATTTTAATTTGAACATTCAAGTTGGAGGGCAATTTTTTAAAACCTTTCCTTCACAGCATTTTCCAGGCAGAATTTCCCATCCCTCCAAGCAGCCTTTGGTTCATATTGGGGGGAATACACTGTGTTTCTTTCAGCAAAACAAATAGCCACTTGGGGAAACAAGTTAGATTAAAAAAAACAGTATGGGGGTAGTTTAACTGATCTTCCTCACCATCATAATTCCAATCAAAATCAGAGTCCCTTCTGTGTATATCTAAGTAAGAATATTAACTTCAAGAGATCTGATCAGGAAACTGTTAAGTCTTATGTAGTTTGGCCCCTGATATCTCTTGTATGTCCTGGCCTTTTGGCTCTCCTGTTGTACATTCCCACTGAGGCAATACCCTTTGCAATTTGCCTACAGATCAGAACACTGGAGCAGGACAAAACTATAGAAGAGCTAAGCAAGTCCCAAGAGAAACTGGAAAAGATGAAGACAAAGGCTGAGAAGCAGCTGAGCTCTGCCAAGTCAGAGTTGCAACTTAAGGAGCGTGAAGCAAAGGAAGACAAAGAAAAGGCCAGAAACATGCTGGAATCTGTTTCCAGTGAACTAGCAACATTTAAATCTGCTCTGGATGAAGTAATGAAAAAAGAGAGACAGGTATGTGCCAGTATCTTCTTTATCATCATCACATCACATTTATATCCCACCTTTCTTCCTCTTGTGAGGAGCCCAAGGTGGCTTACATAGTGCAATTTAATCTTCATAACAACAACCCAGTGAAGTTACTTAAGCTGAGAAAGTGCGTGGCCCAAAGTTTCATGGGTGGGTTTCATGGTCAAGAGGGGACTAGATCCTGAATCTCCCAGGTCTCAAGTTCATCACAGGAGCCTCCACACTGGTCAGACTCTCCAGTCTGGCAGATAAATGGCACCTGGTACTGGCTTTCCATTACAACTAATTCATTTAATTTGTATGCCACCCAACTCACAAATCATAAAACCTAACAGTGCATTCATCTTGATCCAGCTTAGTTTCTTCCATTTCTCCTTAAGTCCACCTCATTTGGTTATTCAGGGTAACCAATACTCCAGGTAAGAGGACAATACTCCGGGTAAGCAACTCTCCTTTGAGCTATAGAGTCTAGGGGACAGTTACAAAAAAAAAAAAAAAAAGGACTTATTCCCCAGTGTATGAGCTCTTTGCTGCCCAGTAGCCAAAGAGCTCCCAGAGTAGTCCAGAGAATAAAGCTTAAAACCATAACATATGAAAATGTAACGCAGAAATCTAAATAATGATAAAATACCTAATGATAATAATAGTTATGGAATAAAGCCAAAGTAAACCAATGGTAGTGCTAAGATCTGAAACAGTTAAAAAAACTGAAGTACTAGAATGCTTGAGAGAATTAAAAGACTTCATCTGAAGCCAAAAAAGAACACAATGTACATAGGCACCGGGTGAGCCTCTTTGAGGAGATCATTCCACAGCTGGGGTACCATAACCAAAAAGACATTTCCTTTTCCTAGCCATCTAATCTGATGATCTGAAGGTCTAGGAGGCAGATGTATACATGAGATAATTCTTCATGTGAGATGGTCATTACACCTTCTTAGCTGAACTGGTTCCTGGGGTTTATACTGAATTATCTAAACAGAAAACTTTTGAGATATCTGCTCTTCATTGTGATCTTCATTGTGAATCTAAATACTGGGCTTGTAAGAAGCACTTCATTTGATAATAGCATATATCTTGGTTATCATTTTTCAAAGCCTGTCATTATTTTGAAAACAGGAGTAATGCAATCTGTTACAGCAAATGTCACTTATTTTAATAAAGGGTACATTGCATTTGTAAGCATTTGGAAAATAGCCTTTAGAGTACAATGAACCACGAACAAAGGTCTGAATATATTTTGACATTAATTTAAGTCATGCAGTGAGGTGTATAATGTTCAGTGTGTGACTGCAATATAAATTACAAAGACCTTTTGATCCTGTTTCCCCCTCCCCACCTCTCTGTTTTGACTAGAATTCATTGTATGTTCAAGTTTTACAGGTTTGGCACCAGGCACTCACTTTTAGTGCTCGCACACCCTCCCTCTGGAAATGATTTCTACACATGCTATACCTATGCCATGTGAAGAAGAACTTTCTTTTGTCTGTAGTGAATCTACCACCAGTCAGCTTCACAAGATACCGCAAGTTACTATCATGGGATGTGGAGAAAAATTCCTCCCTCTCCACTTTCTCCACACCATTCATAATTTTGTGCAGCATTATCTTGTCTCCCTTTATTTGCCTTTTTTCTAGGCCAAAGAATTCTAAATGTAATGTTCTTTCATAGGGGAGTTGCTCGTACCCCTTGATCAGTTTAGCTGTCCCTTTGATGCACTTTTCCCAATTCTACAATACTTCTTTAGATGTGTTTTTCTCCCAGTGTACATCACTATACACTTGCTTCCCTTGACCTGCATTTGCCATTTTGATGCCTATTCTCCCAGTTTGGAGAGATCTTTTTCAGCCTCTTCATAATCCCTTTTGTTTTAAGCATCCAAAATAACTTGTTTTCATCAGCAGTTTTAACCACTTGCCTGCTTACTCTGAAGTCCAGACCATTTAGGAACAAGTTGAAAACCATTTGTCCCAATACTGGTCCCTGTGGGTCCCTCCCTGCTGTTTCCATCCATTCTTTCATTGGGGTAATTTACTACTTATTCCTACTCTCTCCTTTCTGTTCCTTACCCAGTTACTGATCCTTAATAGGATCTCTCTATTTATTTCAGAACTGCTATGTTTGATCAGAAGCCTTTTGGAGGTCCAAGTAAACAATATTACTACTACTACTACTACTACTACTACTACTACTACTACTACTACTATTATTATTATTATTATTATTATTATTATTATTATTATTATTATAACATTTCTATGCCGCCCCGAGGTTTCGGCAAGGGGCGGCATACAACATGATAAAATACATTGAAATACAATAGCACATAATAAATTACCATTAAATACAAAAATACAAAAATACATTGATTTACAAATATAAGATTAAAATTATCAGTATAAATTAAGTAAATAAAAATATAGGAGGAGAAAGAGAAGGAAGAAGAAGTTATCTGTAGGGTTGCCTCTGTTCACATGTTTGCTGATGTTCTCAAAGAATTCTGATAGGTTAATAAGACAGGACTTTGTGGAAGCTGTATTGATGCTTTTTCAGCAGGGCTTCTCCTTCCCTATGGTTATTATTTTTATCTTCAATAATGCTGTCAGCCACTTTACCTAGCACAAATGTTAAACTAATCAGCCTGCAATTTTCTGGATCCCCCTGGATCCCTTTTTAAAAGTTGGTGTTACACTGGCCCTTCTCTAGTTCTCTGGTACAGAAGCTCATCCTAGGAATATGTTAGTTCTTTTTGTGAGAAGTTCAGCAATATATGTGTTCTTTAAGAACTGTAGCATGACTACCATCTGAGCTTGGTGATGTATTAGCTTGCATTGTGTAAATAAAGTTGAAAACTTCATCTTTTTCAGCAGTATTTTTGCCTCAGTCCTTCAGATTTCTTTCCTGAAAACAACAGTTCACTCAGAGATATCTGTCCTATATCTGTTGGAGTTAAGACAGGAATTCATTCAGCTTTTCCATGATTTAATTGTCTTTTTTAAACACTTCTATAACTTGGTCATCATCCCAACTGTCCATGATACGTTCCTCTATATTTTCCTCTTCCTCTTCCTCTTTTATTGCATTTCTTATTGTCCACTAGGATCTTCTTTGTGCAAATGTATGCTTCCTTTTAGTTCCCTAATTTGGACAAGACTTCCATTTTCTGAAGGAAGCCTTCTTTTCTCTAATGGATTTGCATGGTCTTTTCTTCCCCCTTGTAGCTCACCCCATCTGCTCCAGTCATGCAGAGCAGAATTTTTAGGGTGCATAAAGAGTTTGGGGGGGAGGGGAATTCAACTGGATTTCATCAGTAATACTTTGCTACTAGGAACAGAGAAGGACTACCACACACACACAGGTGAAGGCATCAGTTTGCAGCTCCACGTGCTGTGCAGAATGTGGTTCCAAGAGGGTTTTGGATATCTATTTGATGCTGAGACACAAATTATGATATAGCCTCCACCATTGTTTTACCATTGTGAGACTTCAAAACAATAACTGAAGCACTGTTTCATGATATAGCTTGCTGTAAATGCTTAATTATAGAATTCAGTTTTAGGTCTTCACTGGCCTTTTATTCAAAATGGTAAGGACTGTTTTAACAAGGTTGCCAACGTACAGTTCTCTGATGTCAAGTGTTTCCCCTCCCTGCCGCCAGTGCTAGAATACCTGCTCTCCTTGGGACAGAGAGGGGTGGGGACTTGAGTATCAACATCCCATGCCACACTAGTGCCCTTTCCCTCAAAGCCAGCAAGGTATTGTGTTCCTGGAGCGAACTTTGAGATAACATGAATGCAAGCATATGATGGATTTTTATTGTCTGGACAGGCCCTTTATGTTTTGTATTTATTTTATACATCGTCACATTTATATCCTGCCCTCTTTCCTTTTGCAGGAACCTAAGGCAGGTCACTTGATCTGCTGCCCCTTTATCTTCAGAACAACCCTGAGGTAGGCTGAGAGGCAGTGACTAGCCCAGGCTACCCAGTGAGCTTGCTGGTTGAATGGGGGCAAGAGCCCTGGGTATCCTGAGTCCCAGCCCCGCACTCTAGCCACTACATCACACGGGCTCCTTGTTCATGGGAACGAATGACATGACAAAAGTGTTCCAGCTGGCTAAGAATATAATATGACTTGTCATCTTGGCATTCATTAACGGGCTTAATGCAAAACAGCCACAAAGAGAAAACTGTTCCAAGTGCTCCAGTCCTTTTGAAATGTTTAATGTAGAACTGAGTAAAGCAGTCTTGTGAAAGGTTCATAGGGATGCATTGGAGTTATTGCGTAATTTTCAAGCTGGCCCTTGCCACCTGTGCTAATGTAGATCCGACCCAAACCCCTGCATGACTATTTTCTGTTATCACAGTTGGCAGCAAACAGAGAAGAAGGTCCACAGCTCTTGTTTATTTTTGTTAGAGCCACATTTTGGAGCATTGTGCTTTTCCAAGCATGCTGCATTTTGTTAGCCTTCATCGGGACATTTTTCTATGTTTCTTTCTAAAATTTGTTTCCTGCACCTTCAGAGGCAACTGACATTTGTTGGGTGGCTTACAGAAAGGATAAAATGTTAGAATAGCCACCCATATGCGCAGTAATCCAAACCATTAGCAAAAAAGCAGCAGTGTGTCGTGGAAGTTAAATGCTGCAATCTGTATGAAACTCAGAATACCTAACAGCCTTAAAAAGGCTGGGAAATGAAACACTTAAAAAGATATTTTCCTAGCACTGAAATAGCACTGAGGTAGAAACTACGTGGTATTCCTGTGGAATGTGTTTATCACCTGTCACCACACCTTAGATGGAAGGGGTACCCAGTGAAGAACATTAAATGAAGTCAGATTGTCTCTGTGTGTGTGTTTTCATGCTTTCTTTGAGTCACACATGCAGTTTATGCCCCTTCAAAAAGCAGACATTTAGAACATTTGAGAGCGAAACAGTGTTAAAGGGGAGTTCCACAAGCCTCCTCTGTGCATGCCCCTGGTGTGTCTACCATTTGCCACTCAGGTCCGCTTTGTCTGCTGCAGCAACCAGCACCAATCTTTCATTGCCTCTGTGATGATTTAAAATGTTACAAGACCGTGTTCCTTTAAATGCTGGTAGGTTTCAGAAGAGCAGGGGAGGGAGTATAAGAGGAGGAGGTATGAGTGAGATGATTGGTTGGTGACTGAAAATGTGTGGGAGGAGCTTGGAAGTGCAAGAGGAGGGAGTGAAAAATAGATCGTTTGAGTCAGTTTGTGTTGTGGTCATTCAGCAGTTGACAGAGTTGTGGTCCATCAGCAAATCTAGACACCGAAGAGGCAGCCTCCTCATTGGAATCCTACATAGTGCTGTGAAAAGCATTTAAGATTCTAAAGGAGGACATCAAATATTCAGAGGGCTTATTAGACAACAAGCTCAAATGCAGGAATTAAGAGTGAGAAATGCCGAATGCTAAATGTGAAAGGAAAAGAGAAGCCAGCCCCAGTGATCATTCACCATTTTCCAACACATCCCACCATGGAGAGCCCGTCAAGACAACTGCCACCAGTATCAAGAGTATCAGTCCTTGTACCAGCATCTTCAGACAATGTTTCAGATCTACAAATTGAAACTTACCCTTTGGTACCAAATAGGTCAAATGTCCAAGTTCCAAAATAAATGCACTGCTTAATTCCTGAATTCCATAAACTCCATAATCATGGAAGCTTCCCAGTCCAAGAAAAAATAAAAGCCAAACTCAGTTCCTGTAGATTCAGAGGGGAGAACATTAGACTTGACGGGATGTCACCCTGCCATTCCATGTGGTGAAATACTTGACTACCTACCACATTTCTATGTGGAAAATCAGTAGTTCATTTTGAACTCTCTCCCGCAAGATGGCCAAAACAAAGTGATGATATTCCAAATTGAAGCCTACAGGTTCAATTTGGAAAGCACCTCATTTGTGGGCTCAGCTTTCAAACTCCTTGTCTGTTCCTGACGATTACTACAAATGCATCTCTTTTCCTGGAAAACCTATTGTGACTTGTGAATGATCAGGAACTTGTGGCCTCAGCAGAAGAGCACCTTTTACATCAGTCAGCTTGAGCTTCTTGCTCTTGTAAAAGCCCCAAGGGCACTCAAATCTTATGTCACAGGGTGAGCTGTCCAAATTGCAAAACTTAATACAGCCACCCCACTGCAGGTATAGAGATGTTCAATTAGAGTTTCTGATGCTTTCCTGAAAGGTATCCTGCTTCTGCAGTTGTGTAGTGCAGTGGCCTGGGCTCAGCCTTCTATCTTCATCAGACATCACTGTCTTCTTGTTAGAGCTTGTGTCTTTGGCAAAGCAGTTCATTCTTTGGCTCTGGAATGACTTCTCTCCCTTCTAGTATTGCTTTTCAGTCACATATATGCATGAGTCACAGGGCCCTACAAAGGCACATTACTACTTGTAACTTTGGTTCCTTGAGTGGTCATCTGTGAACTCATACAACCTGCCTTCTTTTGCACTTTGATGCCTCTCCTCCTTTTATTCCTCTGCTGCAGAGGAGGTGGGCAGAGGACTCCTGTCTAGACTGTTTAGCTCTAGAATGTTTTGCATGACTCTACTGCACAGGTGTATAACCCACATGTGCAAGTCCATAGATGTCCGCGTGAAGAACCATAGTTCAGGGGGTGGGGACTGTCTCTGGCATGTTACAGTCTGCTCAGATAGAGTAATCTGATTCTGAGGAGGAGGTGGAAGAGCAAGAGTGGGGAGGATGACTTGGAAACTTCAAACCCAGTACAGTTTCTCAGGCAGGGTATGAGAACCAGCCTGGCTGGGAAATGGAGGCAGACATTTCAGAGCTGTAGGGGAAAGCAGTAGAAATGAAATTCCTTCACCCAGTAAGGAGCCAGTTAAGTTTCAAGGAAAGAACTGTGCTTCTAAGGTTTTGTTGTTAGTCTGCTTAAAAGGGGGAAAGTAGAAGCAACCTGCTCATACATGCAGATACAGGTAAGCAACATGTCTGTTCTGTAAAATGTGTGATACACAATTTATTGTATGTTTTCCCTTTGTTCTCACAGCTGGCAGACTTCAGGGAAGTTGTTTCTCAAATGCTGGGTCTCAATACTGCTGCTGTTGCCCTTCCTGACTATGAGATAATTACCCGTCTAGAGAGGCTGATCCATTCTCATCAGCATCACTTTGTCCCCTGCATCTGCTTCAAAGACATGCCAGTGAGGCAAGATGGACCTTTGCAACTTCTTCACTGAACCCGTTCTCTGAAGACAGTAAAATTCCTTTCCTGCTCGCCCTCTTCTCTTTGCCAATGTAAATGTTCCAGAATGACACAGCACAGGAGTTCAGGGAGTGTATCCAATATTAGTCTAACTTAAGTCCCATTCATTTCAGTGGGTCTACTCTGAATAGGAATAACATTGGATACAAGCCAAAATATACAGAGCCAACAGTGAGAAAGCTTTTTAAAAGTGTCTCTACTACTTCTCATAGGAAGAAGCATATTTTTTTCTGAATAAAATTTGCTTGTAACTGAAGAGCTTATATACTTCACTCCAAAAATTAGCAGAACATTATCACTATTATTATGTGATTGCACACATCCATGATTTAATTGTGAAATCAAGTGCCGATTTGCTACGCATTGTTGAGACTTGGGAGGGTGAACTGAGTGGGGCTGACCTGACTTGGCTTGGCTCTGCCCACCTGTGCACTCAGTGTAGCACCAGCCTCAGCTTGGAGGCCAGGCCAGGGAGCTGCTGTGGAGAAATTCCACCTCTTTTACCAGGCAGCCACCCCACGTTGGGCCAGGCCTTGAGGATTGCACCTGGTGCTGCACCACAGAGGCAGCTTGGGGATGCTGCCAGGACGCTGCCCACCCTGCTGCCCAGCAGCCTCCTGAACTGAGCTGGCAGAGGTGATCTCAAGTATGGTTGGAGGAACCCAGGGGACTCAGTGACGGGCTTGATGGGGGCCAAGAAAGCAAAGCTGAATCCCAGCAAGACCCTGTGGGCGAGTGCCTCCAGAGCTTGGGAGGCAGAGTCATTGCCTGCTCTGTGTGGGGTTACACTCCATTCAGTATGGGCTGGCTCTCTCAGTTCCATCATTGTTGCTGGAGTCCCAGTGACCATGGCTGCCTCCAGTGCCTTTACCAGCTTCACCTGGTTCACCAGCTATGGCCACAGTGACAAAGGTGCTAGTAGCCTCACGACTGGAGTACTGCAATGCATTCTATGCAGAGCTGCCCTTAAGGTTAGTCAGGAAGCTGGAGCTAGTGCAGGATGCAGCAGCTTGGCTATTGTCAGGAGTTGCACTTTTCAGCACGCAACTCCTTCACTGAAAGACTGGTACTGCCTGCTTATTTAAGGTTTTGGTACTAGTCTATAAATCTTGAAGCAAATGCTGCTTGAGAAAGTCCTTCTTCCTTAGCATCCGCCTGGTCACTGAAATCCATGGCTGGCTTGCTCCCAGTGGTTCCACATCAAACCATTACCTGACTGGCATTCCATCCAGAGTAGTGCCTTCACTTTGCAGGGAACTCCCAGCCCCTGGGGTCAGGCAGGCATCAGCTCTGTGCAATTTATCTTGCCTTCTGGGAACATCTTTATTTCAGAAGACCTTCCTTGGTTTTTATTAATATTCTGTTTATACACAGTGCTTTATTTTTGTCCTTTTATGTGTCTGTTCTCTCTTAAATTGTATCTCCTTGATGGATTTTTTAGCAGATAAGTTGGTTTAAAATGTTAATAATAAATAAATAATTACAAATGGAAGCTCTGCTCACAGAAACTGCTTGTGCCTAATTCTGAGCACTTCCTCCATCAATCTGCTTTTCCATGAGTATTCTCAGCTTCTCAGAAGACACTGTGGATGGAGTGGGAAGGGTAAGAAAGTCTCCTTCAGACACTTCTATTTAAGATCCAAGTCAATGCACTTCCTTTGCAAATGTAAGATAATTCAGCATTTTCTTAATATTAATCACTTCAGGCATCACAGATTACATTCTTTGAACTACAGCAATAACTACAAATACTTCTGGAGATTTTTGTATATCAGATCTTGATTCCTATGTGTTTTGTATGCAGGTAGGCGCCTTACAGCTATCTATAAATGTTGACATTTTAAATTTTAGATTTGTGAATACCTTATCAAAGTTTTTTTTTAGGCAAAAGAATAAAAACGACTGTTCATCAGGTGATTTATCTTTCACAATTCATTTGTATTTCTTACATCTTTCTACCTATTTCTCAAATGGAGAGCAAGTTGGATTAACTGGGCAGAATTACTGCAGTTACAGCTGTTGAATTTGGCAAAAAAATAATGAATGAATGAATGAATGGGCCTGCTCTAGGAGCTCTGTCTCATGCTGGTAGGTTCACGAGAACATTGTTGGATCTTTGATGTGGTCCTTACCCATTTTTATGTGCGTAATATATATCACCCCTTAATGGATCACTGCTTTGTCGTGGCAAAGGGGCTTGTGTAGCTCAATGAAGCTATGAGCTATGCCATGCAGGGCCACTCAAGACAGACACGTCATAGCAGAGAGCTCTGACAAAACGTGATCCACTGGAGAAGGAAATGGCAACCCACTCCAGTATCTTCTCCATGAGAACCCCATGGACAGTAACAAAAGGGAAAAAGATGACGCCGGAAGATGAGCCCCTCAGGTCAGAAGGTGTCCAATATGCTACTTGGGACGAGCAGAGGGCTGGTACTAGTAGTGCCAGAAAGAATGAAGCAACTGGGTCAAAGTCTAAAGGACACTCAGTTGCAGATGTATCTGGTGGTGAAAGGAGAGTCCGATGCTGCAAAGATCTATACTCCATAGGAGCCTGGAATGTAAGATCCATGAATCAAGGCAAGCTGGATGTGGTCGAACAAGAGATGACAAGACTGAACATCGACATCTTAGGAATCAGTGAACTAAAATGGACAGGAATGGGTGAGTTTAATTCAGATGACCATCAGGTGTACTACTGCGGGCAAGAATCCCTCAGAAGAAATGGAGTAGCCTTCATAGTCAATAAAAGAGTAGGAAAAGCAGTACTGGGATACAATCTCCAAAATGACAGAATGATCTCAGTTCGAATCCAAGGCAAACCATTC